TAGACATTCACTGGGCACGTGGCATAGTCAACTGCTCTACAAAATCCTACAGAAAGGGACTGTCATCAAACTGGTTTTGCACACAACCCTTTTCCACTGCACTTCAAGTCTCCACGTACACTTTAAAAGGCTGCCTATTACCTGACTGCAGGTATGTGACTACTGGCACACAGTTTATCAAAGAGCTAAAGACTAGAAGACTAATCCCAACCTTCTCAAACAAGCAAATAACTTCCCAATCACTAAAAATCCCTTTTTAATTTTAAATTTGAGATTCTAGAATCTATTAATTCATGATTTAGGCAAGCTCCAAGAACCCAGTAGACATTTGTTTGGAACTCTTCAGCTTTCAATTTGTTTAGCTACTTAGAAACAGTAATCTTTTTAATACCAGTGTCATGCTTTGAATTATAAAACTGTACAGTTAAATTTTTAAAACTACTTTCCCACCAGAGGTCCCGTCAAATTCTATTATCATGTGACTCTGGTGAAACTTGGCATTGAAGCATATCAAGGCCAAAGAAGGAATTTCTTAAAGGAAAGACACTTACCTGACTATTGCTGTGGAACTATTTGGCTATTTACTTATGGTTCGTGGGATGTTGTTTTGTTTTGTAGGTGTAAGGAGAAGGGTATGAAAAGAGATGCTTCCAAACAGAGTTGGACAGCTCCAGGGCTATTACCCTTGGTTTTGAGGCAACCTGAGTTATTTGTCCCTTCCAGCAGTCTGAGCAGACCCTGGCAGACGCTCTGTTAATCACAAACCCAGAGCAACAAAGACAGGGGAGGTCTGGCAGGTTGCTCCGCGTGGACACTAGGTTCTCAAGGCCTCCTTGCTCTTTATTTTGTAAGAAGCTTAACTGGCAGCACCCAGGGCATATGCAGCACTGGCACTGCCCCCCTCTGCAAGGACTGAGTCCAGAGCCTATCTGCCCAGTCTGCTTTTCCCCTAGCTCTGCAATATTACTACCAAACATGCATTAAGCATCCAGAGTGCCAGAGACTGAGGGCCAGGCCTTGAGAATGTGGTGACTGAACACCAGAGTCCGACTCTGAAGCAATGGTACAGCCCACACAGGAGCCCTACTTCATCACTGGCTGCGGTATGGTTTATTGCCCATTCCAGAGTCCCATGTTTTCACCCAGTAAATTCATTTACGGTGTAAACTAAACTACTTACACCATGTTAACAGTAGCCATTTCACGCTGGGTCCGCTGTAGAACACTGTTGTGGAATATGTGGGACTGAACCATCATTAATAATAAAATAATTCACACTGCATTCCCTAAGGATGGCAATTACTGTCATCTTCCTTTGGGTGGTAATACTGTGAGATGTAGAGTAATACAAAATGAGTTCCTCGCCAGAGGCCAGAAACTGGAACAATAATCAGGTTTAACAGCTTCTCTGCCTCTCCTCCCTGCTTGTAGGGATGCAATTCTCAGTACAACTCAAGTAGACCTAGTTCAAACCCAAACTTTGCCACTCATTTGTCTGTGTGATGCTGGCCAAGTTACTGAACTGATCTGAGCCTGCTTTCTCATCTGGAAAAGAAGCACGTACTACCACTTCCTCAAAGAATGGTTATGAATGTAAAACCCAGTATGAGGGTTAAGTACCTCGTAAAACAACGTGAGCAACAAAAAAGATCAACCTTTTATTGTGCCAGGCACTATTCTGAGTGCATTCTATAGTTTAACTCCCTTAACCTGCATGGGCTAGCGTCATCATTTCTACAAATGTTAAACTGAGACACACAGGTGAGGCGACCTTCGTGAAGACACACGAGTACTAAGCGCCAGAACCAGCCTATGTGCCCAAGGAGTCTGGCCCAGAGGCATAGTAACTTCAGGGTTCTTTCTGATCCTCTTAACACAAAGAGCTGACGACTTCGGCGTGGAATCAGCCACGCATGCACACACAGTGTTGTTCAACTGCATAAACACGTTTAGGCATGCTTTTTACCGTCTGACTTTGGTCAAGTTATGTAACTGGTCTGTCCTCTGTCTCTACGCCTGTAAAACATGCCTATTAACAATAGATCCTCTTTCATAGAATGATTATTAGAAATAAACAAGTTAAACAAGATAAAGGGCTGAGAAGAGTGCTTGGCACTTAGGATGAGCTTCTTGAAGGATGTACGGGCTGGTGATGTAGCTCACTGGTAATGCTTTACTGACATGTGCCAGGCCCTGGGTTCAAATCCTTATTTAAAAAAAAAAATATCACAAGTAATAAACAACATGTTGTATTAGAATTCTGTTTTTGGAGAGGGTACCAGGAATCAAACTCAGGACCTCACGCTTGGCAGGGAAGCACTGTGTCACTGAGCTATGTCTCCAGCCCTAGAAGAATTCTTGGGCTCCAGTGCTTGGTGGATATTTTGTGGCTGACTGGACTTACTAGTTTTGAATGGATAACCGTTTGCTCTCTGGCAAACATACTGCATTTAAAAATAGGTTTTAATTTCTCATTCAATTAATGAAAAGAAACACAGATCTACAGGATTCTGGTTAGAAAGAAATCAGGCCAGGCTTATATGAAATCAGACTGAAAGCAAGATCCTACATAATAGAGAAGAAAGAAATCAGAGCAGTCTTCCTGGAGGCTTTTTAGGTTGTGAACTGTAATCCACCCACTGGATAAATGCTACGGCTAATGGGCAAAGAGCTTGTGAAAGTTTTATGGCTTGGTAACAATCTTCGGTTATATAGGTTAAAGTGACTTTATACCCAATACTGTTGAAAGCCAGGAATTTTATAAGTGAAAAAGGGCAGCTTTTGTGAACATGTTGGACATAAAACAAAACACCACATTAAAGGAAAAGCTGGAGAGCAGACAGGGCAAACTAGCTCAAGGGAGCCCTTCTGCAATCATTGTTATGGCTTTGTATTTATGCATCTTGCACCACATTTAAATTTGCAATAAAAAGCAAAAAAAAAAAAAAAAAAGTCCAACACTTATTACTCTAGCTGCCTTTATACGTCCCACTGAGATATAAAGCAGAATTTCAGTGCGCAGATGAAGCAAAGGAGGAGCTCATCTTGCTTCATGTCTGTAGGGGCTGCCACAGCCTTAGCACCATGTTCCAATCATGGAATTCATAATGTAAATCTCTAGCAGATGACACCACTGGAAAACAGAAACTGCCATGGATCCAGAAACATTTCCAAATTTCTCCTCTAAACTTCTTATCTGTGAGCCTGGGGCATTGGTAGTTCTGTTTTATGCAATGAGTGAGGCCTGCGGAAAAAATTACGCTCTTTAGAAGACTCGAGGACTGTCTACCATTTCTTGAATACAGAAATGACCTTTATCATTTATTTCACATGTGACAGTGCGAAACACTTCACAACTGGCCACTTGGAGTTCTTTATTCTGTAAAGGGCCTGTGTCACACACATACCTACATAGCTCATTCTTAATCACCAATAAAAGCCCACATAAATCACAGAGGGCTTCCCAAAGAAGCTTTCTAGAACTGTCCAGAGGAGAGGAAGCATTACCTAGTAGTTAGATAAAAGGTCTTTTATAAGTTAGACCATTACAGAAGTCTTTTAAATCAACCTGAGAAAAAAATAAATGAAAATATAAATCAACTTAGGTATACCCCGGGGGCACCCTTCCTGCTTCCCGGTGTGCCCGTTTTTTTCTCCCTGTGATGCTAAGGGGACATGCCAGGCTGCCTGTGCTATTTAAGCAGGGACATCTGCTGCCATCTTAATTTTTGTTCTTTTTTTTTTCTTTTTTTTTTTTTTCTTTTTGAGACAGGGTCTCACTATGCGGTTCAGGCTGGCCTTGAGCTCACTTTGTAGCCCAGGCTGGTCTCGAACTTGCAATGATCCTCCTGTCTCAGCCTCCCGAGTGCTGGGATTACAAGCGTGTGCCACCACGCCCCGCACTTAATTTTGTTATCTATAGGCGGCATCCCTAAGAAACTCTAGGATGTTGTAGAGACCTTGAGCTGGGGGATGGGGAAGGAATCTTTGTCTCCCTAACACATTTGTCAGTTGCCTCCTCAGAGCCCCCTACGCGCAGCACACTTGAGCAGCCTCCCCCACCCCTACTCCCCGCAACACACCAGGGCTGGAAAGATTCATGCTGCAATACTCTCCTGACATTCCTCTTCCCGCCCTCGTTTTAATTCACTCACTTTTTTTTTTTTTTTTTTTTTTTAAGCAAAATGTAATTACTTGACTGTCAGCCTGGGCTGCACTCTGGGGCTTTTACTCCTTTCAACACAGCTGTGCTCCCAGCTTTGATGCTTCTGTCCACGCAGCTTGTCCCTGCCACAGCCCAGCTTTCCGTAATGTAACATTCAAGTGCGTATTTATTTTTAAACTGACCTCCTCTAGACTGTACAGTATAAAGGAGGTCCTGCCAAAAAAATATGCTATTCTATTTATAAGATGAAACACATGCCTCCCAAAGGCGAGAGGGGGGATGGAGCATAATAATTCATAAAAAATGACTGGCCAGATCCGTTCGTCCTCACATGTCTGATACTTGTGGGTGTCAAGGCACTTAGTTTCAGGGAGAAAGGCGTGGTGGTGTAAACGCTTCAGCTGTTCAGAAACCACAATCAAGAAAAAATTTTTTTCAACCGCCAGATCCGCAGGTTGGAGACCCAGCTACAACGCCCCCCTCAACGCGGGAGCGAGACCGCAAAGGGGCACTGCCGCAGATCTGCACCGTGCGCCCAGACGTGGCCCTGGTGCAAGTCCACAAGACAAGGGGCGCGGTGGCCGAGGGCCGGTCCTCAGGCGGAAAAACGCGCTACCCGGAACGGCTGTGTCAACCGCGGGCAGGGTGCACGCGGCCGCGCCGCCCCACCCTGGAAAGTCGCGGCACACACGGCGTGGCTCAGCCCGACCCCTCCGCCCGCGTTACCCCCGGCGGGTCCTCTGGACCCCAGCTGAGCAGGCGGTGCCCTCGGCGCCCCCCGCCCCGCCGGTTCCCGAGCCGCACGCGAGCGAGCGCGGCCCCGGCAGACACTCACAGGTGGAGACGCAGGAGCCCTGGGCCGGCCGACTCCCTCGCCGCCGCCGAGAATCACCGCTGCCCGGGCCGG